AAGGAAACTGGGGCAGAGAGATGTCTTGTGTGAATGTGTCTCATTGCCTTTTCTTTTGAAAAACCGCAGATCACATCGCATTGATCATAGAACTTCTGGGGAAAATACCTCGCAAGCTCATTTTGGCAGGAAAATATTCCAAGGAGTTTTTCACCAAAAAAGGTAGAAGGAAACAATGCAAATGTTACTTATCCCCTCATCCCCTGCCGCAAATGCACAAGAGTGCCTTGCTGAAAATACCAATTAACAGTAGACGTTAGCAAAGATGCCTCTTTAAGCCTTTCCTTTGTTTTAGGAAAGGCTTTCTCAGTAAAACTGCAGCTAAATAGAAGGCATTCTTGTCTAACTGCTAAAAGTATCCTACATCCTAGTGCTTGACATCTTGGTGTATATCAAATGCAGCAGGTAGAAAAACAGTACTGTGGATATTTCTTCAGACTTGATTTGGCTTTGTTTAGCTGATCTTTGTCGACTAGAGGTATTGACTCATCTTTGAAGCCTTCTCTAGACACCTTTGTTCCATTTCTAGCGTGTCAGTCGCCTAAACAGTGCCTTGCATCCTGAGCCGTGTTGCTTAGGACACGTTATACCGTTATTGTAAAGCCTTAAGTACCCCAGAAATGTCCTGAGTCTCCAGAAGAAGTTTTTGATCTAGTTTAATACTTTTTTTTTTATAAAATTAACACTTTTTTGTTAGTAGCGTATTGCTTCCTCAAAGAGTGCTGCATGTATTCCGGAGTCAGCGGCACAGCGTTTACCTGTCATGTCAGGCAGTATAATTGGTGATTTAATGAAGTTAAACAATACTTGCTGATACTGGGTCAGAAATAGCAGGAGGGAAAAAAGAAGCCTTCAAGGAAGTACATTTCTAGAACAGTCTTCAAAAGCAGATAGAAAAGGAGTCTTAGTATAATTTATTTCTTTGTTCAGCATGCCCTACCATTTTATGTTGCCCATGCCCAACTACGCAGAACAGTTTCTGAATTCAGTCTGTCTTGTTTAGCTGTTCAGCCTGTTTTATTCAGCTGCTCTGTTCCCATATCTCGCACTTAACCTGTCTGTCTTGATTTTCAGGTGATCTTAAGCACATCACCAAACTGAAGCCCTGGGGCCTTTTTGAAGTCTTGGTGGAAAAATACGAGTGGTCCCAAGATGAGGCAGCTGCGTTCACAGACTTCTTGTTACCTATGCTGGAGCTGATCCCAGAGAAGCGAGCTACAGCAGCAGAGTGTCTCAGGCACCCCTGGCTTAACTCGTAGAGGCTTCAACCCAGTGCCACAGCACTACACTCTGGTTTACAGCATAGCGTACACGCAGCCAGCTGCCCCTTCCCAGATCCAAGGCTTCCAAAAGTTTTAGATAAATCTGACCTGTTCTGCTGAGTTTGCTTGTGTGACTCAATGGGGACTCTCCTCAGCCGGTGGGCGTCATCTCCGTGTTTTGCCTTGATCGGGCTTCGCCAAAGACACATTGACTAGAATAAGAAGTTTTCCCTGAGTCTCTTCACTGTTATGTGCCGTGTGTTACAGATGCGAGCTCACCTGTGCTCACATATGCTCCCTTAGCTAAATTTCAGCTCTCCTTTCTTCATGAGGGGGATGTGGAGATCCGAACACCTCCTTATCTCACTGACTCAGGAGTCAGTTGCCCGCTGTTGATCCGGTAGCTAGCAATGGGGTGAGAAGTAACAGATGGCACCAGGGTGGTGTTAGTTCCTTGTGGAGCAAAGACCTCGAAACCCTCATCATTTTGTAGGTGTCTGTTGTATTCGTTGCTTTCCAGTCACATAACTCTTCTTTAGTTCTAGCTGCTTAAATCTTTTTAAAAGAGCTATTTAAACCTAGGTTTTAGTCTCCTTTCCTTCTTCCTCCAAAGCGGCCTGCCCCTTTACTTTTTCCTTACCTGTGCCCAGATAGTCAGTATAGTTTCTGAACCTGGTGACATTTTCCACTTTAATGCCCATGCGTAAAAGGTGACAAGCAAAATAAGCAAAAGCTGGAACCGACTCAACCCACAACCTTCAGCATGCAGACGGGTGCACCCTTTGGCTGCAGGGAGGTAGCCTTGTTGCAGGCAACTCTTCTGACATTTTAGTGAGCTCCAAGTTCTTTGGTTTTTATCCCTTACTGGCACTTTTTTGCTTTGCTCGAGGCGGTTGCTGTATCCGTGAGAGACTGGTTTTCACTGGTGCAGTCTACTCTGGCTCTTAATTATTTACCATTCTCTTTTTCCTGAGAAAAGGGTGGCCAAGTCTGCGTCACAGCCATGCTATAGACCTTGACTTTCAAAATTAACACTGAAGGCCCTGTGTAAAGATTTCTCTAACTTGCTTCAGGTGCTGGCCTTCAGATGTAACTTCCCAGCAGGGGACTGCCTTTTATTTTCTGGGCCATTAGCACAAGGAGAGCTAGCAGAAGTGGAAGAGAACTGACTTTTCCATGTAGATACTGGACTAGAAGCTGTTTCTAGAGTTACTCCAAGTAAAAATGTTCAGTAGGGTTTCTATATAAACTTCTCAGAGGGGGTTGGATATAATGAGTAAATGGGTTAATTTTAATTAAAAGTTAAATCGCTGTGGCATTTGATAGTTTTATGATGACTTCTTCTAGACTTGCCCATCCTATTACAGATTCAGTGCATCCTACTCTAAAGCGAGATTGGGCAGCGCTGAGGCTTTGGAGGCACTTCCTTACCGTGGACCAAACAGGCCTTTGGATCCGTGGTAGCTCTCGGAGGACAGAGGTTGCTGCAGGAGCATGCTGGAGGCCATGCCGATGCTATCCGAGACGATTACGTTGCCAAAGCTGCCAAGACCAGTTATGTGTCACTTCTGTGTGTGTGCTGGGAAATCCCGGTTCATAAGGATCGTTCATTCATAAACGTTGGTGTCATTTAATCCACTTGGAAAGAGTTTCTCCAGTCCAGTGCCTGATTGGGCTTATTAATGCAAATCATGCTGCATGTTCTTTTAGGGGTAGATCCAGGTTCTCTATGCATATAATCTAAAATTAAAGTAAGGTAACATACCAAAAGAGGTTTAAACTGCTGATTTGATTTTTTTTTTTCCCGTTTCATCTGGAGTTATCCAGTTGCGTGTCACTTCCATGTCCGTTGCAGAAGGACCGCAGGCAGGACTGGGTTCCAGAGGCCCTCCTGTCTACAGGCTGTGAAGATAATGTTGGCAGGGCAAACAATTGCTGTTGTCTTGACAGCTCACCCGGTCCTGTGTACCTGAGGCTGGCTGATGAGAGAACTTTTCCTAGAAGGGGTCTGCCCGCTTTGACTCCGAGAGCTCGTTCCCATCATTCCCTTCCCCCTGCCACCCCTGACTGGAGGAGGTGGTGGTTTTTTACCGTGATAGCCGAGGTTAAAGCCAGCTTGTGAGTGGAAGACCTGCAGAAGCAGCTGTCAGGATTCAGTCTTGTACCGCGTGCTCGTTCACTTGGGGTTTGTTCCGTTTCCAAATTGCCGTCAAGTGCTCACACTCAAGGATTTGTACTTGCTGTGTCAGTCTGAAACCTGAAGGAAAATACATTTTTATTCTTTCTACTTCGGTGCTTTGTCTTTTTTTCTTTGTGAAAGCCGTACAATAAAGAGATTATTTAATAACTGAGCCCTATTCCTCATATGTTCCCTCTGTAAGTCTGTTCTTTCTGAACTAGTGGCCTATGGATTGAATTTCCTTTGCTAGTGAGCACTTCGTTTTGATTTCCAGAATGAGAGGCAGGGATATGGGGTAGGTGAAGCTCTTGTTGCTGGTATTGTGATCTGTTTGAAAAGGGGGAGAAGAGTAGTCCATAGCAGGACAATTCTGCTGGAATTTTTCCATTCAAAAATACATTTTCCTCCAAGCCTGTCATAGCTCTGCTGTCTGCCCTAGCAAAGAGTCTTCACAAAACCTTCCCAAACACGTTTTTAGAGAGAAGCATAAAACTGGAATGTGCTTTTTAGAACTGAATTGAACTGGCTCCTGCAGGACCCAACAACTCACAGCAAGTAGAAATGAAAATCCTAATGCAGCCTAATTTGGGGACTCTGACCAGATAAGTGCTGGACGGGACGATGAGTTGCTTTCTCTTCGGCAGGACCGGGCTGTGCTGCAGGTGGGCGCTGGGTGAGGAACGATGGCTAAATCGGATTCCTGGGGTGGTGCAGTGAGCTGGCGGGCACTGTTACAGACCTGCTGCAGCTCACAGATTTTTTTTATTTTTTTTTTTTCCCAGGAAGTTTTTTTTTTTTTTTTTTTTTCCCCAGGAAAGTGCCCTTTTTCAAAGGTTGTGTTCGGTTATCGTTGCCCGAAGGGGGAGGTGATTCATGGCTTTGCTAGGAATTGGCTGTGTCGTGTTTCTCGAGTACGAGGGCAGCCTGGGACACGGCAGAGGACTTCCCCTGCCCCAAGGAGACTAGCACAAAATGCAAAATGCTATTTTTATTTTTTTTTTTTAATTCAGAAGTCATTTCCTTGAAAGAAGGCATACAAACCCCAAGAAGCAGCAAATCACCATCCCTCCCCTTTTCCCCAGGTTTGCTGATGGACTCAAAAAAACCTGTGTCCAGTTTGGGCTCTTTCCATCAAATAAACTCCCCGAGAGCTGGGAGGTGAAAAGGACAGTTACAGAAAATCCACAGAAGTTGATAAACGTAAAGCTCCTGGAAAAGTCCCTTTTAAAGGGAAGAGCTGTGTCTGTCGAAGGCGATGGAAGAAGCACTCTAGGTGTCCCTGGGAAGAGAAAGAATAGGTCAGCTGGTGCCAAATTGACCATGACTTCAAATTTTAGGCCTTTTTTTGTCATCACTGGGCAAGAATTTATGTTTTGCTGGTTTCAGGAGGCAAAGCAAAGACAATTTCCCATTTAACCACAAAACAAGTGAGACTACAGCACTAAAATCTATACAGTTACCAGTCCTTTGGTAATCCTCAAAATACAACGGGCATTGCGTGTACTGGGAGGAAACATTAAAAATCACTGGGGGCATCACTTACGTGGGGATCAGCTCTGTCAGTCGTTGCCCTCTTCTGTAAAACAGAAAGATAATTACAGTGTTAATGGGGTATGGTATAAAACTAAAGGTGCGGGTGTATTTTACAGTTTGTTTTCAAAAAGGGGTAAAAAATTTTAGGACGGGATGAGGAGAAAGCCCCCGGCTTGTGAAATGTAGCCTGGCTCCATTCGGGCTCCCGCCTCGTGCTCCTTTGATGTCTCTGCCCGCTGCTGGCTCTCTCTACGTCCCCATGGAGCAGCACAACCACCTCGCCAACTCTGCTGCTTCTCCCGCTGGAGGAAGCCACCATCCTCCCAAATCACGGCCATGCCCTGCAGCGTGGAAACTCTCTGCACCAGCACTGGGCCTCGGAGCTCAGCCCCAGCTGCCTTTACCTTTATTTTCCACTTTAAAATCGGACGGGAGGAGGTTGTCCTGCCGGTTCCCCAAGACAAAGGCCAGGAAGGAGAGGATGAGGGCGTCGAGGATGCCGATGATGCAGAGGATGTACGCCCAGCGCACGGTGCAGGCGCCCAGCGTGTACTTGTCCGTCTTGTCCCCGCACATGCGCTTCACCTTGGGGAGAGGGTACGGCATGGCTACAAGCATCAAATACTACAGACCGGCTAATTGTGCTTAAAAATGCCCTGTGATTGCCCATGACGGATGGGCTCTGCTCGGGGAGGAGCAGGGCACGGCACACAGCCTTCCCGCAAGCTCGGCGTGCTGCTCCCATCAAGCCCCCGCCGCAGCAGCATCTCCCGTCGCCGCGTTGCCCAGGCAACGCCTCCGCACGCATCCCTGGCCGTGTTGCTCCAAAGAAATATTTTCTCCAAGCAAAACTGGGATGGGTTTAATCCGCACAAGGTGGAGAACCTTGCTCTTGCCCCGTGCGTAGCTTGATTTCGGCTTCTGCTTTGCTAAGGCCTCTGCAGCTTTGCAGGCAGATTAATTCTGCTTGTTCAGCTGCGGTGGTTCCAGCCGGGCCGTCAGCCGCCTCCTCGCTGCCCGACCCTGGCGTACCCACGACCTCGGCACCTCGCCTTTGCAGCTTTGCCATGGGAGTTGCAACAAACCCCGCGCCAGCTGCTGAAGGGCCACCTTCTGCCAAGCGGCTCACGTCCCAAAATCTCACAAGTGCTTTTTTTCTTTGCCCCACATATCCCTCACGCTCAGAGAAATTGTTGCTGCATTTGCTGGACAAGAGGAGTGATGGGGCTTGGGAGGGAGAAGAGTCGAGCTCACCTCCAAGGCTTTGGGACATGATTAACGGAGGCTCTTTGCATCCTCCACTGGTATCACAGAAACCCAGCATGGTGGGGGCTGGAAGGGCCCTCTGTGGGTCACCCAGCCCAACCCCCTGCCCAAGCAGGGTCTCCCAGAGCAGGCTGCACAGCACCGCGTCCAGGGGGGTCTGGAATATCTCCAGAGAAGGAGACTCCACAGCCTCCCTGGGCAGCCTGGGCCAGGGCTCCGTCACCCTCAGAGGGAAGAAGTTCTTCCTCCTGTTCAGACGGAACTTCCTCTGCTTCAGTTTGTGCCCGTTGCCCCTTGTCCTGTTGCTGGGCACCACTGAAAAGGGTATCTTGGTGCAGAGCATGGAAGTAACTGGTCCTCCATATCTCTTCGTGCAGACGTGAGGACTTCCCGGGCTCGACTCATGCCAGAAACAACCCTGTGGTGGGAGCTCTGGACGAGCAGATGTCTGTCGCTGCCCTTCGTGGACATCAGCAGCCCCCTGCGAGCAGCGAGATGCTCCCTGCCCGGTACTGGTGCCTTTCTCTGTCCCTGGGTGCTCACTGAACCAGAAAACACTTTTGGGGTGGTCACCTCACGCTTTGCCAGTGGTTTTTTCCCCTCGGTTTGGGGACAGGAGAGCGGCAAGGCCAGTGGGCAGCTTCCTAGGTCTGCAGAGAGCGTTTCTCCTCATTGAGCAGCAGCTGCTTTCTCCCATATTTAATTACTCTTCCCTGTGGCTAATGGAGAGGAGGGGCACCGAGAAACAGCGGAAGCTGGAAAGAAACGGCTTCTCCTGTGAAAATGCACCCTGCGGCAGAGCAAAGGCCGGGACGTGGGTCCTCTCAT